AGAGAATGGTTGAATCAAGAGCAATTCAGCTGAGGAAAATGATCTCAGGTGTTGCCACCAAAGGTAGATAGTGAGAGATTGTTGAAAAACTCATGCATTATTTGCCAGGTAGTGTGCACTTTATATATGCATATGAAGTTGTAATAATAAACTGAATGTAACTGAGTTACTTGGTAAAATATTTCAAGCACTTGATTGTGGGAATTACTGTGCATTGCAGCACAAATCTATATTTAAAATTGAGGAAAAAATGTAGGGGAGTCTTTCAATGTCTCAGCAGCCCCACTGTGTCTCGTGGGTGTGGGAGCTAGCACACGTTTTTGGAGCTTAAACCGAATTATTTGCAGATAGCAGACTACTGAATTCTCAAATGTCATTAAATTAGCAATGCCTCCTTAATGTGCATTTATTTTTAACATCTTTACAGATTGCAAAAAGTAACGGAAGCAAATACTAACAAAGTTTCTTAGGTTTCTTTTCTGGCCTTTTAAAGGGATCTTGATCTTCTATTAAGTGTATGTTAATGAATTTAGTGTCTGCATTCAGTCTGTTTTAAATGCTGGCTGTCACATATTTAGTAGGCATTAAATTACTTAGTATAGTTACTGGTAAAAAGGATTTCTCTGAATGAGTGATAAAATTGTGTAACCAAGATCTGTTTGTCCCAGATACGACTGGTGGAAGATTTTCACCTGTACTTCAGAAGGACTAGAATGACATGGGGTTGCCTTGTCTGTAGACTTCAGTACATGTACTGTAAGATGATTTGGTTTCCTGTGACCTGGTTCATCATTTGTTCAGGCTGTGAAATCAGTTGAGTTTTGTTGCAGTAGAGAACTTCATTAGGATATTCTTCCTTTTCCTTCTAGAATAAGGAGTATTAAGGCACAGTTGTGTTTCAAGCCTGAATATATTTGTCTAAGGAACTCAAAAATAAAGGGTATACAAAATGAACTTAGTTTGCTTCTGACTATGTTCTTGGGGAACAGGAGTGTATGAAGATGTAATATACTTCATTAGACTAACTGCTTTGTTTTGAATAAACATACTGCTTTTCAGATACACAATCCTTTTCATCCTTATCTACTGGTTTTAATCTTTAACAGATTTACACTGTAATAATGATACATTGATTATAGATTAACTTTTTGTCAAGGATCTTGCCCACATGTGTTGTGATTTCCAAAAATCAAAATATTTTATCTGGAATCATGGATAAGCTCTGCATAAATTTTTAAACTTGTCCTCGGATTAATTTCTAAAAAATTCAGTGTGGCTTCCTATTTCACATTAGAAATGGCCATTTAAAAATGTGTTTCTATTTTAATGGAAAGCAGCTGCTGTTTATTGTTTATCCATATTGTTTCTTTGACATTCCTCCTTAATTGTAATTTGTGTTGTGTTGTGCTGCTGTCAGGCTAGGACTAGCTGTGTGTTTGTGAGCCTTGTAGTTATAATGTGTTTCTCCTGGAATCCTTTTTTTCTTTTTTCTTCTTTAGGATGAATTTATAGTTGTCTGTCTGGTATCCCTCAGTGTTGCTAAAAGAGATATAGGTGATTTCTAAAGAAACAATTCTAATCAAGAGGGGTTTAACACTGAAATCTCTAATGCCAGGGAATGAAATCATTCCGGTATTGAAATGAGATATCATTTACACTTCTTTCAGCTGCAGCATAATGGGTACTACGTGAGATAAGGTTTTTATGATGTAATGAAGAATTTTATGTCACTTCAGTGTCTTTCATAAAAATAAGAATTCATTTCCCTATCTAAAGAGTCATGTGCAAAGCTTGAAACCCAAATAGCTGTGCATATAGTTTAATGTGTTATCTTTCCTGTCCCATTTAGATGAAGTTAACACTTACAAATAAAGTAATCAAAATTTTTCTCTAAAATTTTGCTTTAAAAGAGCAGTGATTGTTACAAGGAAAAATTATTCAAAAAGCTGATAAATTTTCTGTTGAGAATTGGGCATTGAAAGTACTGTGTGACAAATTACGAGAACCCATGTATGTAACTAACCTCAAAGTGGAGTTGCTGTTGACCACACAGCTTGGATGTGAGAGTGTCTCTTTATTTTGAAACAATTCTTATATCAGCAAGGCTCTCTAGCCTTAAAAGCTTCATTTCAAAAGACAAGCTGAATGTATGATTTGGTGTTAGTGGCAATTACAATATACTTCTAGTGATCAATTTATGAAGTTTAATTTTGTTAGGTAGCCATATTACTCTTTGTTGCTTTAGAAACTGTGATCACAGATACCAAACTGAAAAACAGTTGTCTCATTCTTCCAACCATGTACATAGAAAAAGGTGAATTGAGCATTTTTAGTAGTAATATTTAGGAAATAGTAAACCTAGGAACTGAAAAGCCAGTGTGTTTTGCCATGAATAATGAGATTTGTTTAGTGATTTTAGAAGAAAGCTGAAAGAAAACCTGCAGCTAATTCCTTAGAATATCTGATGTGATGGTATAAAATGGAGATAATAGTGGTCACTGTCAATACAGTTAAATACTCTATTTCACTTCTTTTAAAGCTATGCTGAAGCTTTCATTCTTGTTTTTCCCCACCCAATGTAGACTCACACAGGAGAAAAGGAGAAGATTTGCCCTTATTGTGGACAGAAGTTTGCAAGCAATGGAACACTGAGAGTTCATATTCGAAGTCATACAGGTACAGTGTTTATTGTAACGAAGAGAAATTTTTTTTAAAAAATACAACCAAGGTATCTCCAAGCATGTTCACAATTCTTCTATCTGCAGACAGAAATACAAGTTTACAGGTAGGCCTCATACAGCATCTTTTTTGGACATGATACACGCTTAATGTGTAAAACCATATTCTGTTCTCGACTGTAATTATGAATGTGTGTGTATATGTATATAATGTTCATAGGTATATACAGTATGGTTCATTCATCTTTGTGGCTGCTAAGGTGTGTTAAACCTCTGGTTTTGTATTAATGTAGCTTCTGACCTTATCACAACCTGCATGTTAACCAAATTAGAACGTTCTACCTTGAATATGCTTTAACTCAAAACTTGTTTTCTCTTGTAACATGTGACTCGTTCTGCCGTCTCCTAATATTCCCGGGTGTGAGTTAGGCAGTTTAGTTTATATTGCCACCCAGATGGCATTACTGTTTCTCTGTCATGTTATATATGTGTTTCTGTAAACACACTGAACATAGTCATCTTGTTATGCTGATAGGTTTCATTTTGTGTGCTTAGCCGTTAGCAAATAGCCTTTATATGACATTCCATTCACCACACATAAGCAACTTTGGTGTGTGGAGAGATGACAGAATTGGTGTTTTTAATCACTTCCAAGCATAGCAGAAAGCCCAAAGTCTTAATCGCTTCAGTTTATCTAGCCTTCCTTTTAAGATTACATGTTTTACTAGTTTTTGATATAATGTGATTTATTTTTTTTGACTGCTATAGACACTAGCAGATTTTTATCCTGGTTCTGCAGTCATGATGAAAGGCTAAAACTGACTTTTGTCTTTAGCTCTTATTCTTTAGTAAATTCTGTTTGTCCATGGAACATTTGTCCATCATACCAGATGTAAAAATACATAGATGTAAGCCTCTGTATGTGCATTTTGCTCAGATGGTCTATGCATACTGTGTAGTCATAGACACAAAAAACACTGAAGGTCAAAGCTGGCAAGACCCAGAATCGCAGTGGAGCGGTTGTGTCCATTCCTCCTCTTCACTCTTGTTCTCTCTACAGCTCCAGCTTATCGATTCCTTTCCAAGTCCTTCCTGCACAATCTCACATGTTCCATCGTTCTCTTCAGCTTTCTGTCCTGTATGCTGTGGGTTTCTCTTCTTTCTTTTGACTTGCTGAAGATGCAGAGAAGAGGAAGAAAAAAATCCCCCCAACACTCATGGAGCACATGGTATGATGATTTAGAGAACCTCTGGGGACTGTGCCTTTTGGAATGACCAACCACTTACTCACTTGGGCTGTACTTTAATGAATCAGGTAGACAAGAGTAGAAGGAAGCAATTCAATACTATTGTTAGTGCGTGGCTTAGCACATCAATAGGGTGTGATGGAGGAATATGACAGCCTCAATTTCTAATGTGTTAACTTTCTTCATGAAGTTATTTTATTTTATTGTTTTAATTATGGCTATTTCTTTACCTTTGTCCTGAGGAAGTACATTGCCTTTGAGTTTTCTGACATTTTGTTGTACTAGACTTCCAGGAAAATTAGGACTTCACAGAATCCCCCCCCAGTGCTTAAAAGAATATAAAAATATTACTTTAGTTCTTCATTAAAATCTCTGAATTTATGTTCCAGTGTTGTTTGTAGGCAAGTCTGCTTTAATGCCTTTACTAGTGTGGTGCTTTTGTTTTCTCTTATTTCACAGACATTTTTCTTAAACTTTAGGTATGTTCTCTGGGTACAATCGATGTTGTATGTCAGATTGAAGAGAGCAGAAGGGCTCTAGTTTTTCAAGCTGATCGTGCAGATAGCTCTTGGGAAAATGCTTTATAGCTGTTTGAGTGAAAATGCTTTTCACACATGTGCTGCTACCAGTTACATTTAAGGTTTCGGTTCTTTTAAGCAGGTTTTCCTAAATTTAGGAGTTAGGCTAAGGTGAGTTTCATGAAACCACACACCAGAGTCCTCTAACAGTCAAGAGAGCCTTGCAAAAATATGTAGCCACTATTTCGTAAGAAACAATAAAATGTGAGATTTTGAACTTAATTGAATTAGAAAGGCAGCGAAGATTTCTTGTGTATTTGTAAATTAAATAAGATGGGAAAAATTAGCTTGTAAGGAGATGATACAGGTTAGAATTACAGAATTATGCAGTGTGTATTCTTTTGGAAGAATAACTCTGCAGGAGGAGGGAAAACTTTCAAGGCCTCTTTCTTCATCTAAAAAGCTAGAAGCACTCATTCTGAAGAATTACTTAAGTAACTTACTTAAATTAATTTAACTAATTTATAATGACCTGTGATAAGTAAACTCTGATCCTTTCCTCTTCCAATCTAGCTGTTGTCATCAGGTCAGTCACATTTTTGGTGGAGAATTTGGTGATTCACATCCTTCACTGTGAGAAGTGAAATACATTGTCATGGTTGGTTTTGATGTCATTCTATTATGATTCCAGACCATTTCTTGATTATTTTAATGTGAAGGAAAAAAAAAAAAAAATGCAGACTAAACCCAAGAGGAGATTGTTGTTCAGTAGGCCTGAGGAAGCATTGCCTTGTGAGGAATAGCTTGCACCCTTTCCAAGGATAGTAAGGGTAGCTGGTGAAGAGAAGAAGTGTGATCTGCAAACAGTACCAGAAAAAAGTTGGCTGTTCATTCTGATGGCTTTTCACTACATTGTGAAGATCCTTGACAACTCTTCAGGAATTTTTACTGAGCACTAAGAAATGTGCAGCTGGTCAAAGAGTGGAGCTACAAACTTTAAGTCACCTATGTTTTGTTTCCAAATGTTGCTATGTTGAATACTTCATGCTCTTAGTGTCTATTAAACTCTGTGGGTTTGAATTCATCAACTCAAAACTCTGCTCTTGTTTTTTTTTTGGTTGGTCTTCAAAATATCTCTTTTCATTCTGAGCTAGAAGTGAAACAACCAGCTGCTGTCCTTTTTCAAGAGATGATTCATCTTTGTGAACAAATCTTCAGCTCAGTCTAAGCTTTTGGTGCAGCTGAAGCAGTACATGCACCATAAGTGTAAATATTGCAAAGATTTTCGTGTCTTAGTGATTACAGCTGATCAGGTTTGAGGTCCTGGTGCAGATGTTTGTGTTATCCCATTTTCTGTGCACGTGGTAAGCTAGACTTTGTTTTATTAGCTACTTTGTATAAGAGGCTTTGTTCTGTATTTACAAAATAAAGCCAGGCAGAGCTTTTTTAAGAGAATTGTGTATCAACTTTTATCCCTTTTTTTTAATTTATAAAGCTGTTCTTTGTAAAAATAGAGGATCTTAGGTACCCTCCTGGTTCTGATTTGGAATTGCATTTTTGGATATACTTAATTCATAGACAAAAAGAGAAGCTTTTTGTTGTTTTGGCTTTTATTTAGTATGCAGAATGTGGTGTTAAATACTGTTACTCACACATGTACGCATACTTCCTGCGTAAGCTGTTTTCTTCCCTCTTTAATATTAGAGTAAAACTCTGTAAATGAGCCCTAACAGTACCTGGCCTTTGGCAGAAACTGAGCTGGTTTGGGGTGAGTGAACATGTCTGCATATGCGTGGATAGAGGGAAGGGTTGATGTTTGCATCTGAACCCAGCATATTGCTCTGTAATTCATCATCTGGGTTTCCAGCCTTGGCATGACAGAGACAGCGCTCTGTGGGTCAGCTGAAACACTATAGCACATTCTCCCTCTGCTGTATCCTGTTGGTTTATGACTTCGTAGGGTCAGAGGGAGCTGGGGTTAATTCAGCAAAAGAATCCTCTGACTGTGATATAAATTCCTTGGCATGTTCATAAATTGTAAAAGAAATTCTGTGGTCTGCTCCATGAGCTTGAAAACAGGGGGCCAGGAGGTTAATTACTTCCCTAAACTTTCAAGCAGCTTTCAGTGTTAACAGTTACTGGCTGCTGTTTGTGCAGCTTTGCAGTTGCCTTATAGGTATTTAAATGTTTTAATTGCTGTCTTGTGTATTTGTATGTGCCTGTGTAATATGTTGTGGAGCAGTGAAAGTTGTTGTGAGGCATTTTATCTTTGCAGGTTAATTCATTTTTTATTTAAGAGAATTGAGTGTTTCAACTGTAATTCTGTACTTTCTATGCTGTCTTTTATATTCTATTGCATAAGGTGTGGTGAGGGACAACTGATGACCATACACGTCTTGCAGAAAATGCTTATGCATGAAAATATAGGTTAAAGTGTAACCTTATTTTGCTTTTCCCAAAACATTTAGTCAAAGCTCTGATTAAAAGCCGTTAAGATATCTATGACACTACATCTGTCCTGAATGTTTTCTGAAAAGATTAATGCTTCTATCCATACCATTTAAAACCCATAAATTAATGTGACATTCTTGCATGTTATGTTCTCTGTGGAATGTGGAAAAAGCAGCTTTATTTTATAACCAGGAGTTGAGAAGCTTCTTTGTAAATTTGCTTCCATATATGTGAATGAAAGATAATACCAAGAGATTACATTAAGCAAAAAACATTCAGATTGTGGACTTCCATATCCTTTGTGTTGGCACAGTTAAGCTTAGCATTTCAATTTTCATGATTAAAGACTGTTTTCTAAACTCTTGAAAACATTTCCTCATACTTGTCCCCTGTAACTCTTGGTGCTGACTGCCTTCTTGACATGTTTCTTGTCCTCTGCATTGAGAGCCTGATGTTATGGTCCTAACCCTGGCATTGTACTCACATCTCTGCAGTTTGATGAACTAGGCATTTGAGCATATTTAAAATCAAATTTAAGGTCCAACTGTATAAAAAAATCTAGGCCCCAGTGTTGCACTTGAATGTAAAAATTCCTGAGTAACCAAACAAAATGTTAGTTGTGGAGTTTTAGTAGAAATTCTGGTTATTAACAGTAGTTCAGTCATCTATGAACATAAAAAAACTTCAAAGTAGGTGAAGGAAGTAATGAGTTGAAGTACAGTATAACTGTTACTCTGTAAAATGTCTCCAAAGCTTTAATAGCTAAACAGGCAACTATTTAT